CGGTAAAAGTAAGACCAGGCCCTTCTAGCTGCTACCAGGAACTTCTTGCACACAATCATCTGGCAGGAAAATAAAAAGTTTCATTGCCAACTTACTGTGGCTAGTATCTCACACAAGCTACCGCCTGTCAAGGTCTTTCCAAATGAATGATGAGAACTCACTCTCCACTGTCTCAGTCTCTGAGTTCTGTCACTCAGACCACAAGCAGAAGAGCCCATTTCGAATCTCTTGTCTGCACAAGCACCCAAGTGCTGTGGAGATGCCCAGATCTCCTGCCATTGCCATTCTAGGCCCATGACTGAGGATTAAAAAGTCACAGAGGGGAATAACAGGGTCAATAGATTTATCAATTCACTTCACTACAAGACCAAAACACTCCTGAGCTGGCCATAGGATCCAGTCTCTGACTTGATCCACTGCCTCTGACAGTTATTTGGCTGTATTAGAGAAATGCTTGCTACCCAAAATAGCTGATTCATAATGATAAAGTATCACTCTCAGGGAGAGATGGTCAGAAGAGTTTTGAGAACGCAAGTTCACATAGCCAGAAGCATGTTTCTCTCCCTGTTACTGCTGTCACATAGACATAGAACTTAAAAGAAGCAAAGTGCTGTGATGCCCTCCATAAACTAAGAAACCTTAGTCCCTCTCTGACTCCTGCTGGTCTCTTTTTGTCTCTATGATATACCCCTAATGTCCATGAAGAGTAAAAGGTAGGAGCTCACGGTATAACAGCTTTGACATTGTCAAGTCCTTGTTTTGGGAATGGACAAACAAATGTTCTGCAATCCTTGACTTTCAGAAATTATGATAATCAGGTAAGTTAATTGGCTTCCCACAGGCTTCATTTCCTGTGTCCCAATTGCTGGAAAGCCCAACTGAAGTCCACATTCTCCAGGAAGTTTTACATCACATGCCCAGGACTAACTGTGCCTTCCGCTAGACCACTTCTTTCTTGCTTGATTACTCTGAAGTGGAAGGCTAGCTTCCTTCTGCCTCAATCTGGTCTCTATATGCCTCCCATTCTCTCTTCCAAGTAGACTCCTCAGTCTTGAAAACATGACTCAGGATCAACTTTGTAGGTACTGATTGACTGCTCTAAGAGTAGTTGATGTTGCTACAGCACTGATGACGTCACAGGGGATACCAAGAGCTCTCCAGGATACAATGGAATATCCAGAAAGGGAACTGCTAATGTCCTGGGGAACAGCCTTTGCTATTATGGTTCTCCCTGTGCTGACCCAAAGCTGAGGTCCTATTTCAGGAGACTCTCCTGGGTTATAGCCATTGAGCACCTCCTCCTTCCAGAGTCACAGATCACTCTAGGCTTAATGGGAAGCACCTTAGTTCTTCCATCATGTGGAACTGAATATATACTTTCCAAACCCTACCCAGGAATTGATCATTTCTTCCTAAAAATACCACTATTAATCAATATGAACAATTAAATAGCACTGAAAAATTACACCCGGATGGATGTGGAAGAGGAAGATCACACACCTCATCATGTACAGGAGCTTGAAAACACATCCAGGAAGGGACTGCAGGCTGGTTGCAAAGTGGGATGTGGATTAGGGGAAACAAGCATAGGAGCCATGTGCTTAGCCTTTGAAATTGCCCCAAGATGTCTTAGCAGATAGAGAAGGCAGCCATCAGGGTGCTGACTACAGTGTGATCAACTGTTGGCAGAGGAACTGAAATAGTGGAGCCACCAAGAAAAAAGCCGCTACACTGAATGTGGTGCTCTCCTCTCTGCACCCAAGGTACCAAAGCAGGATTGGTGACAGGCCTCTGTGATCTACACAGTGGCAATCTGTATCATCATCATTATCACAATAATAATAAAATAATAAAAGGTCAATGACGGAGAAGAGAGGCAGGGGGCAGGATAGCTGTAGATAAAGCTCAGTTGACAGAGTGACTGCCTGGCCTATAGGAAGGCCAGGGTTCAGGGACTAGTGCTGTTCTCACCAACCTTTGTGAACCAACTTCTAATTCTAGCTCTTGTGAAGTGGAAGCAGGGTGATCTAAAGTCAAGGATAACCTGTGAACCTAAGTTGAGAACACAGCTTAGGGACCCTGTCTAAAAGGCCAAACTGTAACACCTCCTACTTTCAAGGCCTCACCTACCCATCCTTTTCTACTGAAAACAACTTATCATTCTCCTTACCACTCTTTCATTTGAAGAAGATAGAGAGGAAGTGGAAGTGATATTTCTATTCTAGGGACCTTGCTTTTGTCTCTAGTTCCACATGGAGACCAAATGAAAGTGTTTATCTGAAGTACTGAGTAATGGTCACTGCTACTAGCATACTGCTGTGCCTATGACAAATTCTGCCTTCCCTAAGTAATGCTGTCCCAGCAGGAAGTATCTGAGCCCAACCCCATTGATCCCTTTGAGAGGCTAGATAGAGGTCATCAGAGACACTCCACTTCCTTGGCCAGAGATTAAATCAAGTTGACCCATAGGGAACCCGGTAGGCTATTTAACCACACATGTTAGAACCACACCCCCACCATTCAGAGATCATTATAAGGTGGAGTCCAGGCATCTACATATCTGATGAATACCTTGGTAGACTTCCTCAGTAGCCAGATTTGTTATTAGACTGGGAGTTGACAAGCAACTGCTGCTCTCAATAAGAGGTGACCCTACTCAGGACCTCTGGCTATAAGAGAATTTAAGGGAACCTCCCCTCTTCTTCCTCAGGACTGTTAATGATGTTGGACAGCATCTTCACTTGGGAGCCACAGGCTACAGAGTCCTCCAAAGTGACTAACTTACTAGAAAACTCAGCTTTCCCTCTCATTTTCTCTTAAAGTATCTAAATTCACATAGACAGTGCCTGACCAGGGCCTAGCCATTCCACACTGGATCTCACATTCATAGGTGCTTTCCAAGGGTTTTTTGAAGTTAGTTTTCTCAGGTCTACAGCCCTAAGAGCAGATGATGTTGCTACAGCACTGGTGACGTCACAGGGGATGCCAAGAGCTCTACAGGAGACAATAGAATGTCCAGAAAGGGAACTGCTGATATCATTGGGAACAGCTGTTAATGTTCTCCCTGTACTGACCCAAAGCTGAGGTGCCTACTTCAGGAGACTCTCCTGGGACATAGCCATTGAGAACCTCCTCCTTCCAGAGGAGTCAGTAAAACAACAAACTGGAACTATCTCAGAACAGATAAAGTACTGTAATGTATTTATATGAGTACTTCATTGAAAAATTCAGCATAAGTGAGGACTGGGTAACCAGCACTGTGCCCCCGCCTATGTGGGCCTAGAACTGTCTCCCAGGCAGGTGTGGGAACAGCTTGGGATCCTCTGCAGAGAAAGAATGAGGTGGAATGGGCACTGAGCAGGCTGAGCGCCAGTGTTGAGGCCCCCTCAGTGAAAGTAACAAACTGATTCTCGGTTCCCCATCAAAGGAACTCCTGTTGAGGCCATGGACCTTGTCTGACCATGGTATGGTCATGCAGACATCTGTCCTAGTTAATACAAAGTTCTTCTATTCAACAGCAGCTAGAACAATGAGCCAAGGTCAGGAATAGTGACCTCTTGCCATAAACTATGTGACAAGAGGGATATGGAACTCATGTTTGTCAAAGATCAGGAGTCTTCTGGGTGGCTTTGAGTTCCTGTTGACCATGTGTGACAGCTTGAAGAGCAGAGTTCTGATGTTTGTTGGAATTCCCAGGATGATGCACTCAAATACACCTGAAAACAACCAGAACTGTGTACAGAGAACTGGATTTATATAGTGGAAGGAACATTACGGACTTAGGATTGCAAACTTGGATGTGAAGCCCAGACCAACCAAATATCACCTGGCTGTATTGGCTCATCACTTTCCTTCCCATGTAAACAAGGGAGATAGCTGAGGTGCCCTGTTTCTGGAAGGACAGTGCATGCTTCAGCCCATCAGGTCACTAGAGACCAATTCAGCCCAACCAATCCTCAACAACAGGAGTCAAGATGCAGAATATAGTCTGAGAAACTGCATAGACAGCAGGAACCCTGCACATGGTCAAAAGAAGATAAGTTTGCCACCTGCCTTCCTTACTCTAGTGCCTAAAAGAAAAAGTAACAGTGGAGCTGGAAGTGCAGAGCCAGGGGTACTGGTGCCCTGTTCAGAACACTTAGAAGGCTTCCACTGACTTCAGAAAGGATGGGTGCAGAATCGCCCGCCTGGCTTCACTTCAAGTCTTTCTCTTTTTATTTTATTTGTTTAATTCATTACTTCATTCATTACATTATGTATATATTTATGAATTTATTATTTAGTATTTATTTATTTATTTATTTATTTATGTATTTATGTATGTATGTATGTATGTATGTATGTATGTATTTATTTATTCATTCAGGGTTTCACTGTGTAGCCCTTGCTGTAATGGAATTCACTCTTTAGATCAGACTGGCCTGGAACTCAGAAAACTGCCTGCCTCTGCTTTCAGAGTGCTGGTATTAAAGGCATGAGCCATCACCTTCAAAAGCTCTCTCTCTCTCTCTCTCTCTCTCTCTCTCTCTCTCTCTCTCTCTCTCTCTCTCTCATGTGTGTGTGTGTGTGTGTGTTGATAGAAGCAATCACAGGGCCCATGCATGCTAAGCAGGCACTCTATTGTTGAGCTATATCCCCAGTTCTACTCTGAAAACTGCTGCAGAATCAAAAAGGAATGTGTTAGGGGACCAACACCCCATTTCCCCATGGGCAACCTGGTTTTGGTAATGGCCAGTTTAATAAAATTCAGGACATCAAAAAAGCTTATTCAAGCTTTTCTCTTCCAGTGACTGGCTGTATTAAAATTCTCACCCTGAGAATTTACCAGAACACCTGGCCTCAACACCCCACTTAGGATTTTTGGTGGTGACACCTTACTTCCTATCCAGGTCAGTCCTCATACCAGTGTGCCTCACATGCCATACAAGCTCTCTGGCTCCATTTTGCCAGACAGTAGATTTCACAACCCCTGATGAGCTGGAGTCTCTCTTCTCTCATACCTTGTAGGTCATCAGGTCAGAAGGCAGCATCACGTGCCTCCTGTTAATGCTCATGCCGTGGCTGACCACTGTGTATTCGATCTCATTGATGATATTTGTCTGGACAGCCTCAGCACCCAGAGTTTTCTCCATAAGGGAAGCTCGGAGTGAAGAGAGGCAGCCTGTTCTGGGAGCCACCCTACTCCTACTTCTTGCCCTGTCTGACAAGCACAAACCAAGTCCTGCTCTATTTCCCACAACAGATTACTGGATAATCGTTGGGGGAAGAGAGAGCAAATGTCAGGGTCAGGAAACTGTGCTGGAAATTGACTGATGGTCCAAAGAAGATGTACATGTTCTTTGTACATCACTGTTGTTATTTGAAGTGATCTAGGTACATGCTACACTATCAGTGACCATGACTCCAGACAGGCTGCCACCTTCTACTAAAAGCTTGAAGTTCTCCTTCCCATTCTACTAGTCAATATGGAAGACAGCTTGGGCACCTCTGGGATGCCTTTTACTATCAGATGTGTTCATGACAGAATGCTCAAAATGCAGCAACCCATTCTCCCACCAGAGAGCCTCAGAAACAAGAATGTGGCTGGTAACCTGGTTCCTGCCATTCTCAGCCATCCCCACTACTGTCATCAAAAGGGATTCCTTACCTCCCCCAGGAGCGTTTTCTCAATTCTGCCCTTCACCAGGCGTGCATAATCTGCATCGTCATCCTTGTCTAGCTGTGCTGTGATAATTGGAGTGCTGCAAGGAGGAGCAAGGGTCAGCACACAAGGAAGGGACCAGGACTGCACAGTGCGCTGCTGTATGACCTCTGAGTGCTACTCACAGCCATGAGGACTTTACGAGAGCTCACCTCGGGGAGGCCTGCAGCAAAGACTTCACAGACCTCTCATTGAGGCTAGCTAATTTTGGGAGATCCCAGGTCCCTATTCTGTCCATGAAAAGACTTAAGAAAATTTCCATATGGAAGAAGCCTTGACCTTCTGCTGAAGGGGGAACCAAGTCTTCATGCCTTTCACCTCCCTTTGCCCCTCTTCAGCAATACCCTGGCTCCTCTGACAACTATCACCACCTGTTCTCACAGCAGACAGTGTCCCTTCAACACAGGCCCTTGAGACAGATCTGACCAGCCCACAGGAGGCAAGCAGACCTCCAACCTGGATATCCACCGCTGCTGGTCTACAACCAGAAGCAGCTAATTTTCATTTGATATTTTTTCTTCTGCAAGACTTAGAGAATAGACAAAATAATTTTTACCCCTAAAGACACGATACATCTCTAGTTCTTCTAGTCACAGGTCTTTTGGAAACTCGCCTGGATCACTAGGGGCTTACAGAGAATGGCTAGAAACAAAGCAGGGGGAAAATCAATCAGGGTCACTCCAGCATGGAATAATGACACCAAAGATGAAATGTCTAGTAACCTAGTCCTCAATACTGCTAGTGAGTTTAATATTTTCTCTTTCTTGTAACTAGAAGCCATAAAAAAGAAAAAAAAGACAACAGATTTGTTTTGACTATATCCAGTTTTGACTTGAGCGACTTTCTAAAACTCCAAACAATGATCAATACAGCAGACCTGCCTCTGGACATCAGAAACTGCCCAGTTAATAAATCACAGGCATTCATGAGCACAAGGACCACTGGTCCCCAGGAAACAAGCCAGGGCGCAGCTACCTGATAGCCTTGAGAGTGTTAATGATCTCTTTAATTTGAGGCACACCCAGGGTGATGTTCATGGAGGCTACCCCAACAAAGTGGAAAGTCTTCAGGGTCATCTGGGTGCCTGGCTCACCAATGCTCTGTGCACAGAGTGCACCCACTGCAGAGCCTGGCTCCATCTGTGCTCTAGAAGAAAAGACACATGAGAAGAAAATATGACACTACAAAGAAAAGGCCATCAAAAGTGCTGGGACAGGCTTCTGGTTACTACCTTTTAAAAGAAAAATATATAGATTCTGTTGGGTTTCAGCAATGAGGCAGGCAGTGTTTGTGTCAGAGGAAGGGGCTGGTACAGGCTAGGAATAAGTGTCATTAGGGGAGTGAGATGGTCAGAGGGGCAGACAATATGACTAAATTCTGTGTGATAAGCTTGTCATATACACAGGGCTGGTGTCCACTGTGTGGAGTAGTTGGAAGTGGTCTGCTCTTACTGGGTAGTAAACATGGTCAGAGAGTTGGAATCTTAAGTAGATAATATGACTTTCCTTACAAACAAAAGACATTCAGGAAATTCCTTTGTAAGTCCTTTCATGTTTAGGAGCATCCAGCCTGGGGTCTCACTGGAGACTCCAGACAAAAGACACAAATTTGTCCAAAGCCTGGTATTGATGCTGGAGCAGTGTGCTTAGTTTTTATTTTTAGCCAGACTTGAGCTACAGTCACCTGGAAAGAATACCTCTCAGTGAGGAGTTATCTAGATCAAGCTGACGTTAGCACGTCTCATGCCTTGCTTCCTGTACAAACAGACTTCAAGCTTGGAGCCTATGCTTGGAGCTTTTAAGACTTGAACCTAGCCGGGCGGTGGTGGCGCACGCCTTTAATCCCAGCACTTGGGAGGCAGAGGCAGGCGGATTTCTACCAAGTGAGTTCCAGGACAGCCGGGGCTACACAGAGAAACCCTGTCTCGAAAAACAAACAACAACAACAACAAAAAGACTTGAACCTAAGTGTGGTGGTGGTACACGCCTTTAATCCCAGCACTTTGAGGAAGAGGCAGGTGGATCTCTGAGTTCCAATCATGCTTGGTCTACAGAATAATTTCCATGGGGCTGCACAGGGAAACCCTGTCTCAAAATACCTAATTAATCACAAAGAAAGAGAGACAGAAAGAGAGGGGGGGAAGAAGAGGAGGAAGGAAGTTGAAGTGAAGCCGCAAGGGGAATTCTGCACCAATCCCTTCTATAAGTCAACAGAAACCTCAGTGTTCTGATACAGGCACTGGTACCCAGGGCCCTGCACTTCCAGCTGTTGTCATCCTTTCTTCTTGGCACTAGAGTAAGGAAGGCAGATGACAAACTCATCATTTCCTGGTCATGTGGGGGCTTCCTGCTGTCTAAGCAGTGTCTCAAAGACAATCGATCTCCTGCCTTTTGACTCCTAGAGCAGAGGACTAACTGAGCTGAATCGGCCTTCAGTGACCTGCTGAGCTGTGGCAGGCATTGTCCTTCCAGAGACTGTGCTCCCTGTGGAGTAGTCCCTTCTTTGGACATTCTACTGAATCCTGAAGAGTTCTTTGCATCTCTTATGATGTCACTATGGTTGTAGCAACAGCAGTTGTCCTGAGGGCATCCATTCAGTGCCTACAGGGTTCATCAATAGATATGTTGACAAGACTGGGGAGTCTACTTAAGAGAGAATGGGTAGCATAGAGAGAACAGAGAAAGGCAGAAGGAAGCTGGACTTCCATCTCAGTGTAAAACAGCAAAGAAGAGGAGGTCCTGGGGAAGACACAGTGAGTCCTGGTCAAGGACTGTGGAGCTTCCTGGAGGAGCTGGGCTTGAGCTGGGTCTTCCAGTAATGGGGCACAGGAAGTAGAGCCTCTGAAAAGCAAATGAAATCCCTTGCTTATCATAACTACTGAAAGTAAGGTATTTCAGAACATTAGTGTATCTATCCCCAAAGCCAAGAGCTCACATGGCTGAAGATGTGCTGGGAGATTTTTGCTTTAACTCTAAATGGAGCTTGAGGCTGTAACTTGGGTACAAATGGAGAACATTTGGAGGCTGAGAGGGGGGCTAATGTGTCCCCATCTCAGGACAGGGCATCACTGCATTTCAATCCCCATGGTTTCCTTTAGGTACAGTGGCTGTCTGACACTAGTAACAGAGAGAAAAGTTCTCCTGGTTGAGACCTTATGGTCTCAGGCTGAACAGAATAATTCCTCTGACCACCTCTCCCAGGCAGTGGCCCCCTTAGCTTTCTGAACCAGCAGTTGGGGTGATAGGGAGTTCTCTAGTGCAGACAACTATCAGAGGCATTGGACCAAGACTGGATTTTTATTGCCAGCTCAGAGTGTTCTGGGCTTTCAGTGGTCACTCTGGTGAGCACCCTCTGCCCCTGAATGACTTTTTCATCCACAGTCATGGGCTTAGAGTACAAGGCAAGAGATCTGGGTATCTCCTCAGCACCTGAGTCCTTGTGGACTGTGCCATTTTTTCTCCCAGCTTCTAAAACCACAGGCTTGAGGGCTCTGAAGCCAAGTTGCACCCTGTACAGCTGTTAATAAGCACGGAGAGGCCATCTGTGTGGTCATCATAAGCATGTGTAGGGAGGCAGAGGAAACACCTGGATGCTTTGATACTCCCTTCTCTACAGAGTGATGGGAGAGCTGAGATCCACACAGGAGGCATCTCAAGCCTGGGCCAAAATCTTTGTGGTGTCACTGGGTTGCAGGCATACTCTCTTTCTGTTTGGGCCTCAGGGTGGTCTGCCCATCCTCTATGCCTTGTCACTATACAAGTTCACTTGTGGACATCCACCCACAGGGGCTGCTGAGTGCAAACCATCTTCCCCAACCCTCCTCATCAAGAAGCAGGTAAGGAAATGGAGAGGCTGACCACACAGCTGCAGCTGATGACCAGCAAGAAAAATGAGCTTCGAGATCACCTGATCCTTATCACTGAAAGATCCTTAGACATTAGATATTCGTTGTTTCAAATGGGTTCTAGGGGGCTACACCTCCAGGGTGTCCCTGTGCCTTATCTCATGTCCCTAAATGTTTGTTGGAGGAGAGATAGAACCTGAAGCAGTGGCATGGGGCAGGGACTCTTCCAATCCTCCAAAGGAAAACCAGAGCCTGTGGTCTGAGTAACAGAACTCAGACTAAGGCAGTGGAGAGTGAGTTCATAGCATGTATTTGGAAAGGTCTTGACAGGTGAGATTCTTCTAGCTGTTGTGAGTTTGTGGTGAGTCTTTGTGTGAATAAGCTCATGCCGCTAGAGCATGCTCCATGTGGACATTCAGCCTCTGCTGGCCTGGAGGCAGGATAACGAGTTTTATAAGCACCAGGATGTCAGGATGTGACATCTTCTTGCCTTGGGTAGTCCAGGCCACAGCCTGAGTTCACTTGATCCTTGAGACCTATGTTGTGGGGTTCTTTGCTCCTCGGTTTGGAACCTACCATAAGCCAAAACCTTTTTATGAAAAACTGACGTTGGACCTGCAGAACTTGGAGAATCAGAACACTGAGGCCTCAGAGACCTTCCAGGAGCTCAAGAAGGGGGCTGGCTTCTATCAGTAAGTGCTTGTTAGGGGCCCCAACCATGGTGGAATGGCCATTTCTGACTTTGTTTCTGGACCAAAGAGTTTTAAGTACCCAGGCCTGGTTCTAGGCTTTCTGCCTCTTAGCCATCAGCCTGCCTTATGGCTCTGGGATGTGTGCCTCTTAGACTCAGTTTAGCTAAGTGTAAAAGAAACTGTTACCCCTCACAGCATTGTCCTGCCATCCTCGGGAACATGTAGATAAGAAAGTGATTTACTTCATGAGAACAGTTTCAGGCAGCCCTGGGCCTCTGGGACTCAGGCAGGGTTTTACAGAGCTGATTCTTGAGGAACAAGTAGATAGAATGTCCTCCCCCTGGTTCTCCTGTCGTATCCTGAGGATATGTACTCCATACACCCTGCCGTTTCCCCATTACCACATTAAGGATTCATGGGAAGGAGGCAGGGGGACTCCTTTTGTTCTTGGAGGTACATAGATTTCTCTTGGTTTTGGTGTTTTCAGTACTAGTTGGATCCTTTTCTGGAATTAGCTGTTTTCTTGTTTCCGTCTTCTGAGTGGAGCTGTCATGGTTGTATTGTGCTCTTTTCCGTGGTCTTCCTGGGAACCTGGGCCTGCTAGAGTTGATGGGGCCTGGAAGTACAATGGCAGGAAGAGGCTGATAGGGCCTTACTATGCAGAGGGTGTTTCCAGCAACCTCCACAGCTGGCTCCTGATGGAGTAGACTCAGATGAAGAAGAAGGTAGACATTCTGAGGCAGGAGAACAGGAAAGTACAGAGCAATTGGGTTCTGCTGCAAAGCACTTTAGAGACTTAAAGCTGATCTGTGCGGACCAATAAAAGCAGGTAGAGTAGGCAGCTGGGTCAGGCTAGTGTCTGGCACCATTTGCCCTTTGTTCTGTCTCTGTGCTCATCCACACATCTGTGCTTCCACCCATCACCTGTCTAATCCACATGCCCAACCAGCCACCCACCTCATGTAATATGATTGTTTACTTATCTATGTACAGTTATCCTGGGAAGTTATCCCCTTATGAGAAACTGAGTTATTGGCAAGCATACTCTGCCGCTCTGCTTGAAGCTGCAGTCCAGTGAGGAAGACAGGTGAATAACATGTCACACACCTACATGTGCTCATGATAGGTAGAGTGCTATGCACAGAGCTTTTTGAGGGAGTGAGTCCTGGGTCCTGTAAGTCATTTGCATGGCAGGAGTCATGTGATATCACAGGCAGGAAGCAGCTTGCAGGAGAGCCCAGTGCAAATTCCAAATGAGTGCTTCTCATTGTTACCTATTTGGGTGGCCTGTGGCCTTCTCCATTCTTCCTGCAACCCAGGGAGGACCCTTCCCTTTGGCTAGCTCTTGGTTCACACTGACAGAACCCTGAGTAGCAGCTTGTTGGCCCTGTTTTTTCTGAGTGGTGCTGTAGAGTTCTCCCATCCTGAAGCTTACACTCTGGATCTGACTTGATAACAAAGAGATGTGGGAAGGGCTTTTTTTATAGACTGGGGGCCAGAATGGGAGATTTGGTGAGTCAGAGGAAAAATTTTCTCTATC